GGGTGAGACTGGAGGAGGGGAGGAAAGGAGGTCAGGACAGGGGGCCAACATCCCCCCAGAGCCTGGATTACATTCTAAGTGAGAGAAAAAGCCACAGAGGGCCACCATCAGAGGAGACATTTTAAAAGACTCCCCATGGCTACGGTGTGGGAAAGGCAAGCCATAGCAGTGACTGGCAGAGCCATCACAGTGGAAGCCATGAGAGGGAATAGGTGCCAGGTACGGAAACAGCACACCATGAAAAACAGGTAGTAAGAAGGCAGTCAGGGCAGCGCTCCCCCAAAGCGTCCTGGGCCATCACCCCAGCACTCAGGGACGTTACAGGTGTCATGGCAGAAAAAGGCTTCAATGGCACATAAGCGTGGGAAAGTCAGGGTGAAGCAACGTTAAATGAGCTTCCTGGCTGCAGAACAATTCGGAATCTAACACGAGGTACATTCCAGGAGATCTAGAATAACTAGAGAGAGAAATCTCCCCACACCCATTGGCACACTCAGCACGTTCCTGGGCATCACCCATCTGGGAAACTGCATACGTTCTAGCCGAGTCCTCCCCCTCTGCCCCTGGATGCTAGGAACCAGTTACAGGAAGGTAATTTTTCAAAATGAGCTTCAGAAACGTTAGGGCAGCAGAGCCCAGTAGCTCTTTCACTGGAAAAGCTCGATTTTTCTCATAAATGTTGCTTCTATTTTCTGAAGACTTTGATAAAAGGCGGCAAGAGAAATGCAAATGACAACTACACTGAGATACTATCGCTCACCTATGAGACTGGCAAAAATGCCAAGGCTTGACAACATATTCTGTTGGCAAAGCTGTGGGAACAGGAACGCTCATCTATTAGCGTTGGGAGCGCGAAACGGTGCGACCCCTAGAGACGGGAATTTGGCGATATCTAATAATACCTGCAATACATTTACCTTTGACCCAGCAAACTCGCTTTTGGGAACTCATCCTGAAATCTTTCACACCTCCATGTGCGCAGCATTAGGTTAAAAGCTGCTGGGAAACATTATAAATGGATGTACGAGGCAGACAATGCCAGAACCCACTGATAATCCTAATACTCCCTTCCCCCACCCAAAGAGAAAAGCAAAACAACTTGAACTTGAATCAGATCGAGCCTCTCAAACTAATTACACCAGTTTGCATAAATAGCAGGGGGCACCCGTGCGCATGCGAGCAGCTAAACCAACTGTCAGGGAAATTCTAAGGGCAAGCAAATTAGTTTCTTCAACAAATAAGTGGTCAGAAGGAAAAAAAAGAAGAGGGGCGTGGAGATTAAGAGGTACACCAACCAGAGCTACTGTGTGGGCCTTGTCTGAATCTGGACCCGAACAAGCCGGAAATAGGGAAACTCGCTAGAGAAGGGACGATATTAAGAGATTACCACTAACTGGGGTATAGGTCTTATAGTTATGTTTTCAAAAGGAGTCTATAAGTTGAGGAGAGATATTTATGGATTAAATATGATTCTGGGATTTGCTTCCATGAGGCAGTAAGAGCTTGGGGGATGAGCGAGGTGAGATAAAGCAAGATTGGCCGCCGTGTGCTTGGCTGTTGAAGTGGGATGAGGGGTACTGGAGGGTTCCATTATACTGTTCTCTCTACTTTTGTGTATGGCTGACATTTTCCATCATTAAAAGTTTATATATATTACACACACACAATTTCTATCATTAACCCAGAGACTGTGTTCATGGCCAGCTCCCATCTACAAAAATTAACAACATACATAGACTTAAAAAAAATACAAAAGGTTCTTTTTTCCTCACTTGGACCCAAGCGTAATGATGGATTTTCTTGCTAGTCAGGAAAGTTCACCAAGATAAACAAGTCGAGTTGAAAATGTTATAAGCGGCCAAACTCCTGGTGAGGTGCTCTGGAAAAGGACACACTGGATATTCTGGGAAGCAAGAACAGCAGAAGTGTTTCTGGAGGAAAACCTAGGGTCTCTGCCTTAAACCTGTGTTGGTAATAACATCCGAGAAGCCCATGTACGGACAACGGCTCATGCACGCTCCGCACTTAGACTTAAGATTTTACAGTATGGGGGGCGGGGCGGGATCACATTATCGATGCTTATCAAAGGTTTTCAAAACTTCTCAATAAATAACAGCAATCTGCATGATCTGATTTATAAGGGCCCATGTTCGATATCAGAAAAATAACGAGGCTATCTTCGTCTCATACACAGCCTGTGCAACTCGGAGGAAGGTGTTAGATGATTTTTCGCTTGCAAAGAATTTTAAGCATGGCGTCGGTGCCCATGTTTTCTCTCCTTCCTGTGAGATTGTGTCACAAAATAGAGTGAACGTGTATGGTGACAACACAGGAGCTGGTTAAACGCTGCCTGTCGAGGCAGTTCCATCTGGAAAGCTGGGGTGGGGACCCGGGACCTAGGCCAGGTCCAGAACTTTCCCCCATGCCACTCCTCAGCCTCCACTGGGGAGAGTGGATATACCCGCAGGCTCTGGCAGGGAGTGAGGACTGTCCCCTTGGTGGGGACATGTTTACCATCACTGCTCCCAAACGTGGGATCTTGCTAAAGAAAGCAGAAAACAAAAACAAACAAACAAAAAAAAAACCCAAAAAACGCAAACGTACCTGCCCTTCTGTTTGCAGGGGCGCGACTCATACTCCATTCTGGCTGCAGGTGTGAGGTCACAGCTCTCCCTATACTGGACTCTGCTTTCTGTCCAATAAACCTATACAAACCTGACTGCCTTTTCCTATTCTTAAAATTACTTTGACTCCAAGAGATGAATGTACTTCCTAGCAATGCTAAGGGGAAGGGGTTTTCTCAGTCCCCTGAGCCCTGGCCCTTTTCATTTTCTAGAGCGTTCAGTGTCAGCCTGACATCGTAATATAACCTTTGTCTTTGAATAAAGAACTGGAGATGGCAGAGTGATGGAGGCCAAGCAAAGGAACAGGCGCTGGGCCCGGCAACGCTGCTACAGAAGGCAGAGCCGGTGGGGAAAGGTGCCAGGCCGGACACCCCTCTGAGGCTCAGGGCTTCATGAGACCTCAGAGTGCTCCTCAACCACCCTGAACCTCGATCACCTTCACCACAGCTTCTACAAGTGAGAATTAAATTAACTGCAATCTCCAGCTCGCACAATGCCTAGCACTGAAAGCAGGTATTAGGCACTGTGAAGTTTTAATTCTCGCCGGTAATGACAGAAAGCTACAGTGTGGCCAAATGAAAGAAGAAAACCAACCTCCAATTCAACGAGACAGTCCTAGCAACTTTTGAAGACCTACCAAATTAAATTACTTGCTTCTGCTTATTTCTTATCTATCCCCTTTAGCAGAAGTGACACAGGAGGAGGTGGCCACAGTGCACACAGAAGCACCTTAGAGGTATCTGAGTATCTGGAGGCTGGCTGGGCTGTACAGGGTAAAATGATGGAATGTATAGCGGTGCTCTGGGAAGCACCACCACAAACGGACAAAATAAGCATCAAAACCAGTAGCCGAGACTGAAAAAGAAGCTTGATTTGCTTAAGCAAAACTTTTTCAAAAAGCTGTAGTGACCATGGCTAATTGAAGGAAGCCTCATTGCAGATCCAAATCATAAGAGGATGCGTCCACACGCACGCACTGCTGAGTAATGGTAGAGAAAGCAAAATGCTGGCTGTATTTTCATATGGTGAGCCCTACCCCACAATGGGATGGTATTCAGAGATGAAGGCTTTGGGAAGTGATTAGATTTAAATGAGGTCACGAGAGTGAGACCCCATGATGGGATTAGTGTCCTATAAGAAAAGGAAAAGATATCGGAGACCAGAGCTCCCCCACAATCCCCACCATGTGAAGACGTAGCAGGAAGGCGGCCACCTGTAAGCTAAGAAACAGGCTCTCACCAGATACCAAATTTGCCAGTACTTTGATCTTGGACTTCCAGCCTCTAGAACTGTGAGAAGTAAATGTCTACTGTTTGCAAACAGTAGGCACAGAAGGTGTGAAGCACGCGCCCAAGTTCAGCAAGTGAAGCCGGGCTCTGAATCAAGAGGTAATGGACTCTCGACCAACAAGCATACAATACTCTTTCTTTAAAAAATTAATTCTTTCAGACCAACAATATTTATAAAATAACTTCTGTTCATCGAATTTGCTGACTCAATACAGCTCGCAGATAAGAAATTCTTCCCAAACTCTTAGTAGGGATAAGGTCTTAATGTAAAAATGCCAACGAGAGGAAGACCTATAGACCAGACGGTCCAATAGAACGTTCTGTGATGATGGAAATATTCTATTAACTGTGCTGTCTGATGCAATGGCCACTAGCCCAGTGGTTCTCAACTGGGGGAAAATGTGCCCTCCAGGGAATACCTGGCAAAATCTGGAGACATTTCTGGCTGTCAAAAACGGGCGGTAGGGTGTTACTGGCATCTAAGCGGTCAAGGCCAGGGAGGCTGCTAAACATCCTATGATGTACAGGGCAGCCTCCACCACAAAAAGGTTCTCTGGTCCAAAATGTCAATAGCACTGAGGGAGAGAAAATCTACACTAGCCACACGTGAGTACTGAGCACTTCAGATGTGGCTACTGAGACTGGGGGACTAAATTTTTTATTTTATTTCATTTTAATTACTTTGATTTTTAACTTTTAGAATAAAAAAAATGAAGACTAAAACTAACGAAGCTCGAATTCAAATTTTAAACAGCCATGTGTGTCTTGAACAGTGCAGCTATCGAGAATGTGCATAAACGTAAAATAAATGTCTTGCTTCCCAAGTATTTCCATTTAAAGGAATGAAGTATCGTCAAGGAAAAGGGAGATTCTGATGCTTAGGATTGGGAAATAATGAGCATCAATAAAAACATAGACACAAACGCCCATGAAGCTTTAGGACTCATGTCTAGGCACCAAAGAGGTCAGCACAAAAGGAGGTCACCGGAAACGCTTCCTTCGATCACCGGAAACGCTTCCTTTTATCACCGGAAACGTTTCCTTCTATCACCGGAAACGCTTCCTTCTATCACCATGGGCAACTCACTCTTGCAGGGTCTCCACCCCCTTTTCTTTGTACTGCAGTTCTTGCTTCATCTGGGTCAGCTCTCGTTTCAATCTAGAAAGCTAAAGACAAATTACATTTTTTTTTTACAAAAGAAGCTGTGAAAATTATTTCTACAGTTGCTATCACTCTCATCAAAGTCTCTAATTAGCTTGCAATTCATTGGATCATCTCTTCTCTCCATGAACTTCCATTTACATACATATCAAACAGCCACCCAAAAGACCTGCCAAAATCCCAGATCACTAACAGGTTCCTACCCATGTGGAACCGGCAACCCTTTTCTTTTTCAAGGTCTTGATTAACTCATTACAATTAGCAAACTATGTAATACTTTCTTCATCTTCCCTTCTACTTGCCATTCATAGATCCCACATATGAAATGCTGCGTGGTCTCAACTACCTGAAGGTCCGCCGCCCGGAGTGCTTATTTAAACAGATTCTGAGACCCACTCCAGCTTGTGTTAAAAACTCAGGGGGTGGGCCTGGGAGCTCACACTTTGAACCGACTCCCCAGGTGTTTTCTTAGATGCGCTAGAATTTGAGAACCGCTGCCCTAAAAGATAATGAAACACCAGCGCAGGGGGCTTTATTTCCAAGGTGTCTCCCGTGCTTGGTTGAAATGTAATAAAACGGTCCCCCTTCTCAGATGACCAAGACAAGGGCCGAGGGGGTGAACCGAGGGGTCCACAGAGAGGAGCACAGGCGGTTTTTTGTTAGGTGGGCTGAGGTTTTAAAATGAAACATTTTCTCTCCTATTGGAAAAAAGCGGAGAGTAAAACCAAATGTAATAATAATTCGTGAAATCGAAAATCTTATTAAAATAGGACTGCTGGACACACTGACCACCATAAAATGAACCACGATAATCGATGTTACATACAAACACATATGGGGCTTCTAATTGTGAAAACACTTGTTTTACTCACCCTATCCCGGCGACTCGCTATTTCCGCTTTAATTTGGTGTGGGTCATATTTGGTATTTGTTGAATATCCAGAGTAGGCTAAAGAGAAGAAAATATTTTATTTTATAATGGATCCTTTAAAATAAATAAATGCACATAGGTAGGACCTTCTGATTCACCATATTAAATAATTAAGTCTCCAATTAATTATTTAGAGTTGGTGCTGGCTTCCAAAGAATCACTATTTCACAACCTCAGATCTGAATGTTTGATTTTTGTATGAGTCCTTTCTACAGGATTCCACATAATAAAATAGATGGCTATACTTAAATTCGAACTCTGTTAACTTCAGCTGCAAAACTACTAGGGTTAAAAACCATATACACACAGGGAGGGAGAGGTATGATTATGGTATGGAAAACTGTTCTTATGATGTAAATAGCACATGTAGTATAAATCATTTTTATTTTCTTTTAAAATGCACGCGCACATGGGAGTCACTGGAAGGATAGAGCCAAAAAGTCAACTGTGGTTATTTTCAATGGTTTCATTACAAAAGATTTTAGTTTCATTTTCTTCATATCTATATTCTCCAGATGAACTGTTTGATGTAAGAAAGGAAAAAATGCTAACGATCTACAAAATGAAAAAGACAACTTTCTAGTAATGTAGATTACTACAGGCTTGAGAAAAAGCTATTCTTTCCAGGTTGTTTGTTCCACACAAACTCAAGTGAAGCACCCACACTTTTAATCCAGCAGCTTGTTTTGGATGGATGTTGAGCTAAAAGACATCACACACATAAATGCGTCCTTAAACAGTGCAGTGCACGTGATTTAAACTCCATTTACAGACACGGCATCATTACTATGAGTAGCCAATACCTGGGGGTGAATGAGACATGGAGAGCTGTTTATCTAAGAAGTCAGCCAATTTCTCTCTGCGCAGAGAGCTGTGAGCCTCCTCCGCTGTTTCAGCAGCTGGAGCGGCTCGTAGCTGTTTCTAATCCCATCACCCCTTTCACCTCTCTGCATGGTTATTTCCTGATGCTTCTGTCTCCTTTCTCTTAGGCTTCTGAAGCCACCAGCTTTTGTGCTGCAATGACTTGGTTTCTATTTCTTCCTCAGCTGGTGGAGTACTCCTGTCTTCATCTGTGGTCACCCCATACTGGTGTAATCTGCCTCTGGGTCATTCTCATGGACGTTGTCTGCTCAGAAGACCAATGTGCAGGGCCGGCATCCTTTGTTTTACTCCTTTGATCTGGGTACTCGAAGGCTGTCAGTCAGATAACTAGGTGCCAACACCTAGAAACTAGTTCAAAACCATTTCCTGGCTTTCTATTGGCAAGGATGGCTCAAAGCCATCGACTGGCTTAAACAGCAAGATTATTTAATAGTTTCAACTAGAACCACATCCAAAGTTAATTTGAGCAGTTCAGATATCTCCTTTTTAAAAAAACAAAAAACAAAAAACAAAAAACAAAAAAGTCATATGGAAAATCTACTATTTAAGCCTCCATCGGTCAGAATTTCAAACCACTAGAAATAAATTTCTGGAGGAGCTAAGTGTTTGCCAACTTTATCTCAAAAGTTCTTATATTTAGAATCGTACTCTCTCAAGACATGGAGTAAAATGTTTTTAAAATAGAATTCTTCCTTAGATGAAGAACGTCTGTTTCCAAATCCTGCAACTTCCATCTTGTCTGACTCTTTGGTTTCATTTCAGATTAGTAATGAAAGCAACACAATACTTCAAACAATGCCATTAAAAGCCAGAAATCATTTCTATAAAATCTCCACATTAAACTCCTGGGGCTTAAAAGTTCCTCAGACCTGAGCTTAAGGGGCTTCCTCCTGGGACCCAGATAATATGCAAATGAGCCTAGGGCTTGCTGACTCCTCATTTCCACTCTGTCAACCCGCCACTTTGCAGTTAAGGAAGACAATGCACACAGTTATCACCTGGGACCTTTCCCACCGGGGTAAGCCCCACCACCAAGGTCCAGGGAAGCGAACTGCGAAGTCAAACACTAGTAACCATGATCTGATGTCATCGGCACAAAACTTGAAATGCACAGGGGGGTGTAGCAGGTAAAACAGGACAAATACACAGCAACATGCTCCCCATTCTCCTTCCTAACTACCAGCACCCTGAGGGTGTCAGGTACCCACCTCGTCCCCAGGAGACTCAGTGTGTAGCCAGTCCCGGAAGTGTTACCTGATGATCCACGACACCACTAAGCCACTGAATCCACCAATGGGAAGCCACCTCACCTCGGAGAACTATTATGTGACAATGGATTTTCTTATAGTCCACGGCCATGGGAACTAGTCTTTTCTGTGACTTACAGCTGAAACCATCCTAAATGATAGACTAGGTTTTACTTATATTGATAGCAATCATGTTACATTTGCTTCAGTCTCTAAAACTGTAAGATTCCAGGACTGGGATGAGGGAAAAGGCAACTCAGGTACCTAAGACAGCGAGTACATTTTATCTTCAAATGCTAAAAAGAGTTGTGAACAGTTGTGAAGAGTTGGCATAACTTTTAATAATGTAATTCGATTTATACCAATTCTCAGTTCTTTATATCTGCCAGTAAGTTTAATGGAATCCATTTTTGGAGTCCAGGGAATAGCTCAGGACTCCAGACTCCATTTTTAACAGCATGCGCTACATAACAGTTAGAAAAAGAAGTATCTTTCTCTGTTATGTGTCCAATCTCAAAGTTTATGATCAATACCAGACTTTCACCTCTGAAGCTTTCTTCTCTCAAGCTGAGTGGGCAGAGCTATTAAATAGATTAAGGAGTCCACTCAGGCATACACTATTGTTTTTGATGACGTAATAATAAGGTTTTAGTTTAGCTGGGCCACAACAATGTGAATTAGTATACCTTGCTATTACAGGGTGCTTTTTACATTTATTTCATCTATTCTCATAAAATCTTTGTGAGAGATGATGATTATCCTCCTTCCACTTTATAGATTAAAGACTGAGTCTGTAGTGACTTGATTTACATTATGCCATCAGTCACAGAGGGACTCGTGTCTGGAACTCGGGCTCCTGTGGGTCAGCTGTCCAGCGCCCTTCCATCAGATTAACTTTTCCGATGTAAGAAGGGATAGCCCTCTGGCTCCCCAATGCCCATGGCCCAGTGGGTGAAATAGACCTGTGTATTTAATACTTAAAATGCTACTGACCACAGTACTCATCTTGGATTTTGATTGTACAGGTTATTGAAAGGGGGAAACGTGTGTGTGTGTGTGTCCGTCTGTCTCTGTCTCTCTCTTCCACACAGGCCTCCTCTGCGCTGTGTGAACCTAAGGTCACCCCAGGGGGATGATATGCTTTAAAAGATCAGTAGTCCCTCTCCAAAGACATCCTCTGGGCAGATTGCTCCTCATGACCAGGTGTGCACCCCCAGGCGTCAGCACTGACGAGAGTTGCTCAAGGGAGCCAAGGAAGACTGGCAGGAAGGAGGCAAGCCCTGACAGATTCCATGCTGACAGGTACTAATTACCAGAGCAGCGACAAATAACCAAGGCCAACAAAAGAGGGCATGACATTTTTTAAAGGCACCATAAGCAAAGGACCAAAAAAAGCAAGCCCACTCAGGGGTGACCTACAGAAGTAACACAAGAGACCACCAAATCCAAATCAAGAATTCTTTCTAGAACAAACTGGGGGATTATCTCTCGGTAAACATGTGTACTCCGCTACAACCTTCAAGATTGAATCTTGCCAACTAATAGCTATGAAAAATGCTGTGCGATCCATTTCTCTCCTGCCTGCTCCAACATGCTTGCATGAGATAAAACAAAAGGCTGAATGGATGGACTTCGGCCCTTATCCTAATCTAGATAACAGATGAGAAACCCTTTACCAGAGAAGAAAGGAAGATAATCTTTGTGGGAGGGGCTTGGAGCCTCAGAAAGAATGTTGGCAGGACCGATCACTGATAAGGTCAAGCTCCACCACCACCTAACTCAGGAATTCAGGATGGATCAGCACTTTCTCACCAG